CTCGCGGCCCTCATCGGCAACGGGGAGGCGCGGCGGCTGGAGGGCTCGGCCACGCTGCACTCGCTGCGCATCCAGCACGGCGGTAAGGGGCGCCGGGGCGCGGGCGCGGGCGGGGTCGCGGTCCCGTCCCGCTGGGCTGGCGGTGCGTGTGTCCGCAGCTGCAGGTCCTGGCTGAACAGCCGTGTCTGCCACCTTCCCAGGGACGCTGGTCTTCGCAGATCGGCAGCAGCCCATCACGCTGCGGGCCCGCTACATCCTCATCCAGGACGGCGGGGCCCTGCACATCGGCTCCCGGCGCTGCCCCTACCGCTCCCGGGCCACCATCTCGCTCTATGGCAGGGCCGCCGAGGGGCCGGACGTGCCGGGCTACGGGAGGAAATTCCTGGGCGTGGGCCCGGGGGGCACGCTGGAGCTGCACGGCAGGACGCCGCGCTCCTGGACCCTCCTGGACAAAACCTTGCACGCCGGCGGGCTGCGCTTCGGCGCCCACCAGTCCCAGAAGCAGTGGAGCAGCCGTGGCCTCAACCTGCGCATCGTCGATGGGGGCACCGGGCAGGTGGTGGCAGCCGCTCGCTTTGACACCCACCTGTGGGCAGATGAGAGCAGGAGGCTGAGGGATTTCCTGGCGAGTCAAGCCCCGGGGAAGGTGGTGGCAGCTGCTGTCGGAGACTCAGCGGCCAAGAGTCTGACCCTGGAAACCCGGCTCCTGCTCAAGGAGGTTCTTCACAGCCAGCACATCCTGCACCTGGGCTACAGGTAGGAGGACGGGGCTGTGGCAACATCCCCCCAGCAAGTGCTCACTGCCAGGCTTAAAGAGAGCTGAGGCTTCCCCCCCACAACTTGCTGCTGCCCTGTGGCCCGTGCTAGGGGCTGAGGGATCAGGCCAGAACTAAGGGATCAGGTTTGCCCTCAGAAGCATGAACACTGTGGCTCTCAGCCCGGGCCTGTGTGTGTCTGTGCCAAGACCCTACAGCTGAGCTGTTATTGCGCACGTGGCCACCAGGCATCTCAAACCTGTAGCGCCACCATGGACAGCTCCCGGCTCCCTGCCTACCGGCTGACAGCTATCAGCTCCACATCCCAGCAGCAACTCCTTATCACCCCAGGGGGCTTCTGACCTCAGCACCAGTCTCACGGGGAAGGAGCACAGTCCTGAACCTGTAGCTGGAAACTCCCACCCAGCTGGGCGATGTTATCCCTCAGATCAAAACCATGGTGTTTCTGCAAATAGATTCAAGAATCAAAGTCATGTTTCTGAGGGCAATAGCATAATGCATAAAACATTAACCTGAGCAGTCATTAAGGGAACTGTGTAGTAGAGCTGGGTGTTATTTAATCCAACCTTGCCAAGCTTTATTTTGAACATGCTGTCTCTAACGCTAACTCTCCAAATGCAGCAGATCTCTCCAGACTGTACGGTGTTGCGGTGTGTTTCTTTCAAGAGGACCATTGACTGTTCTTGGTCTCCTCAGGCAGCCCTGGGCTCTCGTTGGGGTCCTTGGAGGCGATCAGTTTTCGACCTCAGAAGACAGAAAGCAGTACCAAAGAAATGGAACAACAGGACTAGCCGTAGCAGAAAGAGACTTTCAGACCTATGATGGAACCCATTTTACAGTCACTGCTTTCAGCGGATGGATAAAAGGTTTAGTGTCCTGGTCCAATCTTCTCTTTAAACTGTCTTTTGTTTTTCCTGCCATTAACATCCTAATTATATGATAGTCATATTATAGATATTTCTTATGCTTGGGTGTATGGGCATCAAAATTAAACATTAATCTCATGACACTTTTTGAGTTTTAACTCATCATAAGATATGGGGCTGAATTATTTAATAGCCAGACCCCTGCTGCTGTTCTCTGAATTATTTAACTAAAATTGAGTAGATCTTCTGTTTAGCTAATTGTATGTATCCTTTGTTTATCTAAATGCACAGGACAGGGGTATACAGCTGTAAATAGTAATAAAAGTAACGGTGTGTTTCATTTTTCAGGGGTACCTCATAATGGATTTAAAGTGGAAGTGTCCAAAGGCATAATTCTTAACTTGGTGGATGATGTTACAAGTTGGTTACCTGGAGATAGGATAGTCATTGCTAGTACTGATTATTCAATGCATCAAGCTGAGGAATTTAATCTCCTTCCTTGCCCTGAATGTAAAAGTAATCAAGTGAAGATTGATGGTATGACACATTTTCTTAGGCTATTGTTGTGCATAAATATTTATTGTCAGGTTTTTTTAATTCTTCCTTTCCAGCTGTTTTTGCAAGCATTTAGGCATGTAGGTACACACTTAAGCATTGATTCCTCTTGCAGCCAATGAAAGCATTCACCTGCTTGTTTGCAGGATTCAGACAGTAGGTTCTGGTCCTGGGAAGTCTGATCACTGATTAGAAATCCACAGAGGTGCTCAGCGCTGTAAGATCAGACCTTTTGTATTTGAAAACCACATAGCACTCATAAAAATGCCTTATTGGGTCTTGTTAAAAGAAACTTTAGAACTGTGTGATGAAAGAATATACTAAATTTGTCCTAACAACCCTCCCCCCCCTTTCATTTTACAGGCAGCCCACTTTATCTTCATATTGGAGAAGTTGTAGATGGCATAGACATGAGGGCAGAGGTTGGTCTTCTAACTAGAAATATACTTATTAAAGGAGAAATGGAGGACTCTTGTTATGGAGAAAACCATTGCCAGTTTTTCTCCTTTGACACATTTGGAGGACATATTAAAGTAAGTGATTATTAATGCACATATCTATAAATTTATATCAGTGATCTACTTCCCTTCCCACTTTACACAGGAGTTACAAGGAATCATCACTGTAATTCAAAAGATACTTTTGCATTTGGATATATGAGAAAGGATATGTAAAAATTATTGAGGTACTGGCAAAACTTGAGCCAAAATAAAAGCACACCCACTGCTTCACATCTTGTCCCACATTCTCCTCAACCTTTCTCTGGATTAGGCTGGATTTGTTTGTAAGGCTTAGTCCTGACTGTAAGGGTCTGTGTGAAGTTATGCTGCTTGAAGAGAAGCAGCACAGAGATTGTGGTCCCTCCAGAAATATCATTTGTTCTATCTGTTGCTCTTCAGGCTGGCAGGCATGAGGCTGGGTCATAGTCCTTCTATTCATCCTCATTTCTCAGTATCCTTATTTTAGGGGGTAGCATGAGAAAGCAGTTCCTGTGCTTCCCAGACCTTCTATAGCTGTCAAATATATGTGCATATTACCAGAAATAAATATTATGGAAGATGTTCTTCTAGTTGGGTTGGATGCTGCTCTTCTAGTATGGGTTTGATGAATGGACTGTAAGGTGGATAGAAAGCTGCCTGGATCACCGGGCTCAATGGGTGGTGATCAATACCTCAATGTCTAATTGGCAGCTGGTATTAAGTGGAGTGTCCCAGGGATTGGTCCTGGGGCTGGTTTTGTTCAGCTTCTTCATTGATGATCTGGAAGATGACACGGAGTGCACCTTTAGCAAGCTTGTGGATAACACCAAGCTGGGGCAGGGAGTAATAGATACACTGGAGGGTAGGGCTAGGATTCAGAGTGACCTAGACAAATTGAAGGACTGGGCCAAAAGAAATATCATGAGGTTCAATAAGGACAAGTGCAAAGTCCTGCACTTAGGACGGAAAAATCCCATGCACCGCTACAGGCTGGGGGCTGCCTGGCTGGGCAGCAGTTCTGCCGAAAAGGACCCGGGGGTTACAGTGGGCAATAAGATGGATATGAGTCAGCGTGCCGTTGTTGCCAAGAAGACTAACAACGTAGTGGGCTGCATTAGTAGGAGTGTTGTCAGCAGATTGAGGGAAGTAATTATTCCCCTCTATTCTGCACTGGTGAAGCCACATCCAGAGTCCTGTGTCCAGTTTTGGGGCCCTTACTACAGAAAAGATGTGGACAAATTGGACAGTGTCCAGAGAGGGCAACAAAAGTGGTTAGGGAGATGGGGCACATGACTTCTCAGGAGAGGCTGAGGGAACTGGGCTTGTTTAGTCTGAAGAAGAGGAGACTGAGAGGGGATTTTGTAGCAGCCTTCAACTACCTGAAGGGGGTTCCCAAGAGGATGGAGCTGGACTGTCCTCAGTGGTGCAAGACGGCAGAACAAGGAGCAATGGTCTCAAGTTGCAGCAAGGGAAGTCTAGGTTGGAAAAACTTTCTCACTAGGAGGGTGGTGAAGCACTAGAACGGGTCACATAGAGAGGTGGTGGAATCTTTTTCCCTGGAGGTTTTTAAGGCCCAGCTTGACAAAGCCCTGGCTCGAATGGTTTAGTTGGGGCTGCTTTGAGCATGGGGTTGGACTAGATGACCTCCTGGGGTCCCTTCCAATTTCTATGGTACTGTTCCTTTTTGGTATCACTTCTCTTTGGGTATTTAAGAAGTTGAAACACTTGTCAACATATGCAGCATTTGGGCCCATCCTACACTGAGGTCAGTGAGAGCAGAGGGCTCCCTGTCCTTTGCAGGCCCAGGCCCTTCATTACTTTACACACCTGTTGCCTGCTGGAAAAATATATATTTTTTTCTGTCATGCTTTTGTACTGAAAATTTTTCCTTAATTCTATCTTTGTCTCAACAGATCCAAAGAAATTTTAGCTCTGTTCACATGGAAGGAGTGGAATTAAAAAACATGGGGCAGCAAATACTGGGCAGCTATCCAGTGCATTTTCACTTGACTGGAGATGTGGATGAGAGAGGAGGATATGATCCCCCTACTTACCTAGATAATCTGGCCATTCATCACTGTTTCTCTAGGTGTGTTGCCATACATGGAACTCATGGCCTTCTGGTAGGAATACATTTTTATTGTCATTCCACTCCTTCTTTTATTTTGTATACTACTAAAAGTGGGGAGAAACAAGTAAAATGTCAGCAAGATTTTAAAACAGTACAATTACTTACTGTGGAACATTACTTTTATTTCACTAGTATATTTTTTGCCTTGATACCTTTGATGGTATCAAAGTTAATGGTATCAAAATTGATGGTATCAAAGTTAGACTGACATGGTAGTTTTATCTGTTGAAAGAAATATTGAGTTCTGTGTTTTGGCATACTTTTAAACTTGATCAAAGATAATGAAATATTTGTCCCAGGTCTGGGCAACCTTCGGTGGTATGGAACTTGAATTTAAAATGTAAAGATGCCTTCATGTAACACGCCGAAGTTACAGGCTTTTTAGTTTGCACCAGAGATACTAAATAGAGAGATGGCTGAGCTAGGAACAGGGTTAGACTAATCCAAAAAATATTCACAGGACTAATGGAAAGAAATATGAGCAACAAGGCCACTGATGGCTTTTTTTGGCATGTCAGTGCCAAAAGAGCTTGGGAATTTGGCTTTGGGTCAAATTCTGACAGTGTGGAAAGGGCATTCTGATAAAGGACTAAGACGAAAATGTATTCAGTAAGGAAAAGAAAAGGTTTCCTGCACAGATCTGGTCACCTCCAAATTCTGCACACCTTTGATGACCTGCACTGGTGCTCTGGATAAAAACCTCCCCAATGGGGAAATACTTATTTGGAGGGAATGTTACATATGTTTCTCCATAAATGCCCTTGGCATTGACTCCCAAGTGCTCCTCAGGGAAGATGATTCTTGCTCCTGGATATAGAGCTGTTTCAAGGTAGAATATAGATGTATATTATTTTACAGCATGTGGATGTGACCATCTAGGGGGAGCATTTTCACCAAAAGCCAGAAATTGATGCTGTCTTTGTGAGTTGAAGGGGCTCTGAGAGCACTTTGCATGTATCACAGGATCTGGTTGTAATGTCCAGGCTAGCAAAAAGCATTGATTATCATCTTATAGAGAACATGTATGTGTATGTGTTGGCAGAGCTCCCAAAAGGCTCAGCCAGAAGTGGATGGAGTTAATAGACATTCTCCTTCTCTCTACCAAAACCACTAATTTATATATGACTTCCTGAGTCAGGTCTCTGGGATGAAAAATGAGAGCACAAATGGATGTTGACCTTAGGTGGAATAACTTGTGGTCTTAATCCTTCAAAAAAGTGCAGTCAATAAGGAGCTGTCTGGCTATCTGTGATTTCACATCTGTTAACTAAATCAGAAACCCAGGTATAAAATCTAGATCTGTAGGTGGCATATGGGTTTACAAGGGCTTGGAGCTGATGAATCAATGGATACACTATATAGCAAGGTGTAAGTGCAGTATCTGAATCTGTGAATGAAATCCTTTCGTTCTGATACAATAATGAAAATAGATCTGTAGCTATTCTTCTCATACTCAGCTATAGATGCTCTGATATATACATAATTTTGGTACTAGATTATGAAACTTCAGAGTCTGTAGCAGAACAATTTAGATAGGGCTTGTTTTTACCCCAGTGTTTTATGACGTTATTTAGCGAAGTGCAGCATTTTCTGGCATATTGCATGCATGTCAGTGCAGTAGGCCAGTTCAGATATCTGGTTTTGTGCAGTGCCAGGATTGTGCATGTCATAAATCAGCAGCATCATAGCACAGCTTAGGTTACTTACCACAGTTGAAAAGCAGGTTGTGACATGCCTCTCGCTTCACTGACATGTGTAACACATACCATAGACTACTGTAGCAATTACTGTATAGTGTTGCAGTGCATAAAGGTCATTTATATTGTACTGCTGAGCTATATATATTTCAGTGTGTAAAAGCATCCTAATTATCTGATGTTGGAAACACTGAAGGGACTAGATTGAAGAATGGACAGTTTCAATCGTAGGCATATCACCCCTTTTAACACTTAGCGCTAATATGCTACCCCTAATTTCACAGGACCACAGGTACTCTGTCTTTTCTGATATATATTCATAATATATTATCTATATGCCAGAATAAGCAGCCCTCTAGATGTTATTTTAACGGATACATTTGGACCCCCATCTTTCAGTGCAAATATAAAGGCCCTTTAAATAATGCTGTATTATTCCCAGTTCTTTTTCTGAGACCCATATTCATAACCCACAGCTAGGTCCATGAAAAGCAAAGCATCAAACTGAAATTCTACTGCTCTTTTGAACGTGGACCTACCGTTCATCACCACCTTCTTCCAAAGAACAGAACTTAGTCTTGTATAGCTCCTTAGCAGATCAATGTTGGCTGAAAATGCTGCTTCTGCCCATCATAATGAGGGAGATATCTGGTTACAGCATTACCATTCCTAGCAAGCTGGCAATGTCACCTCTGATTATAGATGTAATATGTAATTGTAGTTCATTCCAGCATACAAATCGAGGAAATTGTGTCTAGTTTAACCATCCACCTGCGTACCTACAGAAACCAAGTGGGTTAATATTATTTAATTTTACAGTCTTTACATAGACACAGCTCTGACTGATGTGAAAGGGAATTTTGCATGCATAAGTAGCAACTGAGTATGCCCATTTCATTTGAATTATAGAGTTAGGCTCCAGTAAAATACTTAAGCTATCAAATATGATTTAGTAACAAATAGTATTTTATCTGGCCTGATTTAGTATTCATAGTTACAGCAAGGCTTTCTAAATTTATCTTTGTAAGACTGTACATCAAAGGAAGCTTGTGTTAAGCCCTTGTGGTCAAATTATGATTTAATGCAGTATCCATGTGCACGTCAGTTAATCTTACGTGAGCTGCGACAGTGGAGTGTAATCTCCACACAACCTTTACAGATCATTAGGGATGCCATGGTGCTGCAGTTTCTCAGAATGCAGGAGAAAACTTCTAGAAATATCATACTAGGGCACACCATTAATAAATCTTGTACTTTTCTTGTGAAATGTCTCAGTAAAGCAAACTGGAGCATTACAAATAATGCATTAACATGTAAAACATGCTTACTGTTTTGGAATATTAGGAATAACTTGGGGATTAGTGGGTAAAGTAGTGATTAAGACCAAGGAACCATTCCGATAATTAGCTTGATTTATTAACAAACTACAAGTTTGCTTCACATACGGTATAATGTAACATACTGCAGAAGTGCAATTGCAAGTTGTGGAGGGCTTCAGTGTCAGGATCCCCAGAGTTTGCTGGCCAGGCGTCCTGGAGATCTTGAGAGAAATCCTTGGCAGGATGTTAAACGCTGTCAGGAGAATTCTGACGCTTCCAACTTGTGACAGTTGCTTACGCATTTTACTTTCTGTCAAACATAAAATCATGTTCCTGTGGTTTTGAGAGTGAACCAATCATGTTTTACAACTTTTTAGTATGGCTGAATTTTACATGTGGTTTACTGTCCAGGGGATCAACCTTAGTGGTACTAGCTGTGCTATATCAGCATCCAGTTGTCTTGTTTTTTTATATTCCACTGTACCCTGCTGCCTCTGCCTGCTCCCTAAGGAGTGACATGCCAAACCACCCCTTCTACAACCCAATCAGTGACAGGTCTGAAGTGTCAAACCATACCCTTCTACAACCTGCTCATTGACAGGTCAGACAGAAGTGTCCAACTGACAGGGGTTACAAATAGGTCACAATATGAGTCATCTCAGTTTTCAGTGTGCAATAATTATATTGAGGCACAGAATGGCATTGCTTATTGCTAAGCATTTTGCTAAAGTAGCTTTTAACCCTACACTTTCTTTGCTAGAGATACATAGTCTATGATATGGTAATAAATCTTCTCTCAAAAACTCGAGTCGTTTACTATTTTCCCTCAATTACACATGTGAGTCTACTCAAATTAACATCAATAGAAATTTCACTATTGACAGCAGTGTGAATAGGTTCATGATCTTCAGCTAATAAGCACATTCTTCCAGCCTTATTAGTGCTGAGTATCATTTAATGTATCATTAGTTCCAGGACTACTTATTCAACGTGTAACCAGTATTTTATATGTTTGGTTCAGGTGAAAGATACTATTGGCTATGATACCCTGGGTCACTGTTTTTTCCTTGAGGATGGAATGGAGCAACGCAATACATTTTACCACAACTTGGGCCTTCTTACTAAGTCTGGAACCATCTTGCCTTCAGATCGTAATGAAGCGATGTGCCTTGCAATACGTAGCAATGTATATGGAAATTATATTCCTCTGCCAAGCACCAATTGCATGTAAGTAGTCAAGGAAGTATAATTATTATTTGCACTTAGCTCTTTGCATATGTGATCCTCAAAGCTTTTTAAGATGAAACTAAGATTTTTAAAGAGTGGGGTTCATTTTCTCTAGGTTGGGTGCTACTATTTGGGTTTAAATGGCAAATTTTTAAAATTATTTTGAGCTACTAGATAAAGTACCTTAATTGTAGGGATTCTTGGAAGTATCTCCTAACAGGAATATGAATCCTAGTCTGTGAATATTGCTTGTAATCCATTTCCATCACTGTTTCTAGAAAGAGAGAATCACATTATAGAAGTTTGCTCATTTCTGAACCCCTTTAACTCTCTTTAGATAGGATGTTGAAGGCTCCTTGAAGTCTGCCTGATTAAATGGGGCTCAGTTCAGTCCTAGCTTAAGCTAACATAAATACCAATTGCTTCAAAGAGAGTTTCTTGCCTGTTTGCCCTAGAGATGAATTTGGACCATAGCATCTAGAGTAAGTTGGTCATTAGTAGATGAGTACTTTAGTGTCTAGAGTCTATTAGAGGATTTAGTGAGAATGTAGAGATTAACATAAATTATAATTAACCTTGTTTATTGCACAGTAAACAGTATTACAGTTGCCTGGAGTCTATTTCCAGCTTGGAAAATCAGTCCATTATACTTTGGGCACTCATGTAACTCTGTTTTTCTCTACTAGAGTTGCAAATGGGGAATATTGTTTAGTATCCCTGTATTTTCCAACACACCATGTTGTGTTGGAAAGAATTTAAGGATCAAATCCTGTCCATTTTACTCTCTAGGGTCCTATTGATTTTCTTGGAGCTCCTCATCTATGTATGGTCAAACAGACAGAATATTGCAGTTACTTGCTTGGCCCTTTCCTGCAAACTAGTAATGTCAGTGGGATATGGACTAGGGCTGTGCAAAATTTTGCCGACCGTTTCGTTCTGACAATGTTTTGATCAATTTCGAGGTCAAAACAGCAAAATCGGAATGAAACAAAGGCCATCAAAATAGCCTCGAAACAAAATGAGGCTGGTCGAAGCATTTCAGAAGTCGAAATGTTGCAACCATAGGCTGGGGATGGGAAGTCAGTCCAGCTGGGCTGACTTCCCATCCCCAGTGCAAGATCTGGCAGGGAGCGGGAGGCAGCCCAGGTGGGCTGCTTTCCCATCCCCCATGCTACATCGCGCTAGAGGCAGAAGCCCAGCTGAGGTGTTTCCCAGTACCCCGTGCTAGATTATGCCAGGGCACCAGCAAGCAGCCCACCTGGGCTGCCTCCTGGCCCCAGAGCAATCTAGTGTGGGAGACAGGAAAGCAGCCCAGGTGGGCTGCCGCCCCGGCGTGATGTAGCGCTGGGGATGGGAAGTCATCCCAGCTGGGCTGACTTGCCATCCCCAGCAAAACTCAAAACAGTGTCAGAACAGCCTTTCTGTTTCAACAGAACGGAACAGAACAGCCCTAATAATATATTAAGACTGCTCAAGCGATCACAGATTCCCTAAAATTTTAATAGTATTGTTAATAAGTGTTCATTAGAATTGTCTCATAAAAATGTTCAAATTACTAACTATGTTCAGGAAGATAATATTTAACATAGTGTTTACGTGCAGTGTTTATTGGCAGTAAGACATTATTTTTTATCAAGTGTTGGTCTAAGTATATATAGTTTCTGTTTATGCCACTGCGTGTCTTTCCTTTGAATCAATGGGTCTCCTTTATTTGAACAAAGGTCAAAATAACAACTCTGTTAATCCTATTACTACTGAACCATTTGCACCTTCCACTGGACTTGTTCAGTTACCTTTCCGAAAATATTGTAAATCCATGGAGAGTTATAGACCTGACTTCCTTATCCTGGAAGTTCTAAAAAGCAAAACAGAAGTTCAGTTTCCAAACATTTTTCCATGGTTTAATTCTGTCCCCAGCATTTTCTTGGGGGAAAAAAAATGATGTAAGGTTTCCTTAACTTTCATTTGAACAGAGCACAGATTTTATGTTAATAGTCTCATATAATTTACAGTATTTTCAATATGTGGCTTCATAAATGAACATGCCTAAAATCACTTGACACTTTTACTTTCCTCAAAGAGGATCATTTAAAAGGTGCTGTGAAATATTAAAAGTCAATGGGAGTGCCGTGGCTAAAATCCAATGTGGCGCTATGAAAATTTAGCTCTTCCTGTTTGGTTACCACTAAGGATCGTTTTTATTTTTTATTTTCAGGGCTGTCAGCACATTCTGGATTGCTAACCCAAATAACAATTTAATAGGCAATGCAGCAGCTGGTGCTCAGGTAATATTATTGAATAGTAATTGATGTGCATGCAACTCTTACTGAAGTCATTGGTATGAAAGCATCACATATTTAGTGTATCCTTGTAAAATTTGGGTGCATATTGCCAAAAAGAATTAGGAAATGATTGACCTAATACAACATCTGTGTTAGCAGTATGGATGTTCCATTTGTGCCCTGCTGCATCCCTTGTCTGCAGTGGTTCCCCTTAAAAAGCTACTAATTGGCTACAGCTATCAGACTGGTATCAGTGATACCAGTTTTTCCATGTTATAGAAGAAGTCATCTACTCTATCCCCCTGTGCTGAGACAGGATCAACTATACTTAGCCATGCCTCATACATTTGTCTGACTTGTTTGTAAAAAGCTCCATTGATGAAGTTTCTATAACAGCCCCAGGTAATCTACCACAGTGTTTAACTAGTCTTAGTTAGAAAGATTTCCTAAATTATTTCATCTGCAGGAAGTAATTGTGTGGTGGCTGGTGAACGTTGACTTTTTAACAATGATAACTGCATTTTCTAATAATTAAAATATAAAATTGGAAGCACAGTTTTGTACCAAACCATATTTGTTTCACAGCACTTTCTGTTTATATGCAATAAGCCAAATTTGCAAACAAATTGCCTAAATTGCACCTGCAACTGCCTAAATTGCACTTGCCACATTTGTTCATGCAAAATCCACAAGTAGGTGCTCAATGAGCCCGTGCACGCATCAGGCACATCCGCCTGTGTGCACAGACATGCTGGGTTTGTATGCACAGTTTGCAAACTTGGTTTAGGATACTTCTTTGAAAAAAACAGATTCTATGTATTTAATCTGTGCAGGCAGCAATGCTAAGTACTACTGGATCTTGGAGTTGTTTGCCCTGTCCCATATTATTAACATGTCATTATTTTATAGGATGTTGGGATATGGTACATCTTCCACCGGGTTCCAACAGGACAGTCTGAGGGACAATATCCAGAGGGACAAGCTGAGTTTACTCCCTTGGGGATATTTTACAACAACAGGGTCCATTCTAATTTCAAGGCATGTAGGAGATTTTCATATATTATCACAAATATAATCATGAGGATTAGCGCTTATTGTATACAGTTCTTAGATATTTGGAAGGTTAGTGTGAGAGATGCATTTCCATAGTTCTGGTTTAACAGTCAATTAACCGTCAATTAGCAATCAGTTTTCACATTATTTCTGTGAGGCAGATGAGTGTTCAAACTGAGGCAGTATAACCTGTTTCTTGGCATGGAGCAGTGGTTCTCAACCTTCTTGGACTCAAGTCACCCATCCATAACTTTTGTGAACTGAGTGGCACCCAATTTCAAACACTAACTGTATATACTACAGTGTTTACCTCCATACACAGGGGCTGGGTAGTAGGAAAAGCCCAAGCCCAGCTTATCTGATTGCCTCTTCACACCTTGTGGCACCTTTCAAAGGATCTGGAAGACCCCACGGTGCCCTGATATCCTGCTTGAGAATCATGGGTGTAGAAGAATGTGTGAGTGCTGCTCGCTGTCACGGGGCATGTACTATGGAGGTGATTTAGAGGGAGTTATGGATTTCATGGATGCGGTAGTAGGAAAGTGCAGAAAGCCTTACGCTTCTCTCCTAGCACAGTGCATTGTGGGTGGTGGGCAGAGGACCTGGAGTAGGGGCTTGGGGGCCAATACATTGCTTCTGACAATGAAAACTAACCATTTAAATCTCTTTGAAAACATTTTCCCAAAATGGGAATTTAAAATAATCACTTTTCATTATTTCTCAGAATTCCAGAATGAGAGGAGCCAAATCTTATTATTTAGTTGGGGGAGTTGTTTGTTTATCATTAGGAAACAATGAGGTGGATAAAGGAAAGTCAAAACAACTTTGTTGTGCTCTATCCATATATACTGTATGCTGGCTCGTGTGTG